TTGTGAGACATAAGCTGATCTAAGGAAGCCCAGTCGTAGCGAATGCTCTTCTCAACAACAAAATTTCGCGTAAAGTCACCAGTAGAAGGTTCAGTGACGAGCCCAGAGAAAGCTCCATTTTGCGGCGTTTGATCTGGGAGAATTGTGTTTGTGATAATTGCATATTCCGTTCCTGGAGCGTTGAAAGCAGAAGTAAATTAAAAGGTGGATAAATATTCTTCTAGTGGTCATTAAAATTATCGCTGTTAACGGTGCACAAACTTTCAGCAGCCTAAGAAAAGTGCAGAAATCAATAAACTAATGAAGGTGTTAGATACCTAGAAGAATAAATTAGGTTATCTTATCTTTTTCTTCTGAACCAAAATATCTGTGCAAAATTGACCTCGCTCGGTTCCGAAACTAACTCATTGTTTGCGATATACCTCTGATAACAATTCTCTGCATTTTTGTGTAACATTCAAAAATCCGGAACATTTCCGCCAATATCGAAAGTAGATATATCTTTTTACAGCAATCTTGAGTATCCCTCCAAGTTACTCTCGTCTGCTTTACCCTAACAATCAATCCAGTGAACCGAGAACACGTTGCTGACAATCTGGGTAAGCGCCAGTATCACTTGCCCTCCTGTCGAACATTTAGGCGGTTGTCATACACATCACATTGCGAAACTCAATGCCAGCCCTTTTTCTGCGAATCTCCAGCTCTAGAGTTGTTATTCGATCGAGTAGCGGTGGTCAGGGGAGAGCCACTCTCCTCGTAGTGCCCTCAAGTGGGCGGTTTGTTTACCGATGATGGGATGGTATGCGGCTTATAATTTGATAAAATCCAAATTATGCAAATAAGGGAGGTGGATGTTCTGCGGAGATATTACAAGAAAACACCTAAAACGGCTGTAAGTGACGTTGCAGTGTCGTGACTTACTTAATTCCATGGTACTTGTCGCCCCACACCAGCTACCGTGCTCCAGCGCAAAGGGACTGTAAAGCTCGTTCTCCCTGTGGGAATTAGATTCTTCATAATGGGCTGGCTCGTAACTGCTGGCATAATTTTGTTCTGCAGAATCCATGTGCGTTTACAGCAATAGACCGGCAAGACAGGAAATATAGGCCCTGCAAGGATCGTGAAAGTCCACGCTTTCACGTCCGCTTCGCGCGCAACCTCATTTGCCTATAAGCTGTAAGCCGTTTGGATTTCGCCAAATTATAATTGTGTTCTGTTGGGAGAACGAAATTTTGATAGAATTCTTGTTTTTTTTAAAATTTTTTTCATGGGTTCTAAGAGGAGCGTAGAACGAGGAGAGCCGGTTATTTACTTAGCTTTCATTCATTTTAATCGTTTTTCTTTCCTAAATGAGATTTAGTATAAACTGTTAATTTATTGGCACTGTTAATAAATTTTATGATATTTGATTGAAAGTGTTTGTTTGCACTTCAAAATCACATATCCATCACTCTCGCATGTATTTTCATTGATCATCTTCGTTAGGAATCCATTCAACTTTTTGCATCAGTCCCCCTTTTTTGAATTTTCCTTGGATTCACGATGTTTACACGTGCACGTATATCTCATTTTATGCAACTAAATTTGACATTAATGCATGCTTTGGGACGGAACTAGTGCTAGTCATTTCAAACATTTATTATTGCTGTTCAATTATGGGATATAAACGCTTTAAATCAATGATCGGTGAATAGGGACTCCTCACCTCACTCTTCTGTTCATGGCACCTGAAGTAGAAAAGAAAATGGAAGAACAAGAAAGAAATTGGAAGAAAACACACTAATTTAAAAGAAACATCACAATTTTTATTGGCTCAAGGCCAAACGGCTTACAGCTCATAGGCAAATGAGTCGCGCGAAGCGGATGTGATAACGTGGAGTTTCACGATCTTTGAAGGTCCTTTACCGCTTATGGTATAGTTTTCTATTACAGTAGTCCGTGCCGATGTGTTGCGGTTTAAATTTTGGGGCGGCAAACAGCTGTCTCTTTCTTTTCACTGTTGTAAATGCGACACGGATAACTTAATGGAGAACTATGCTTTCAGTGTTATTTCCTTATTTGCTGAAGAATGAAAAGGTGGCTGTTGATGCCTCCTCCCCTCAACTGCAACACAACGGCACGAATTAGTGTAATAGAAAACTACGCCACTAGCGTCATTTCCTTCTTGTATGTCCTTCTCTAAGGCCTTTCTAGTTTACGTTACGAGAATCAGAGAAAATCAATTTTTGTGCTCAAGCTTCACACTTACGCGACATTTCATGCCGTTATCGCTTATGTTGCTATTTTAGTGAAAGACTGTTTTAAGTAACTAATCGGCATTCTTGTTGTTATAATTGGAGTTTTTCTTCAGGTTTTGGCTTCAATGTAAAAGGTCAAGTCAGCGAAGGGGGGCAACTGCGAAGCTTGAATGGTCAACTATATGCGCCCTTACAACATGTTAGTGCTGTGCTTGCGGATGGTGCTGCTGAACGGGCCAACTTACGCAGAGGAGACAGAATACTACAAGTGTATGTGGTCAATGTAACAGTTTATCTTGTATGTTATTAACTGTTGCACTTCAGAAATGGTGTTAATGTAGAAGGTGCAACCCACCGACATGTGGTTGATTTGATAAAACATGGTGGTGATCGTTTAACAATGATTGTCATTTCCGTTGAGGATTCGGACGTTGATAGGTATGGTTCTTGCGACATCGATACTTTAGGCTCTGCTCTTGGTCATATCTTGAAAAAGTATTTAGATTTCTGCTATTCGTTCCTTATTTTTAAATTTTTCGTAAGTCCAGAAAGTACCTTTTACTGGAACTAAAGATTGGTGCAGTTTATTTTTCTTCAGCCCAACTTGCGACGCGGCGTTATTGTAGGACTAGACGGTAGACATAGGCTACATGGCA